CTTCCAAGACAGATTTTTTACATTTCCCTGGTGGTCCACGGTATACTCAATATTCTTCACAAACAGCGTAACTGAAAGGCATCGGTTCTTCTTCCGTCTTCCTTATCCACTGTCCAGCTTTCATATGCCAATGTTGTTATTGTTGTTGTTGTTGCTGTTTGCCATCGAGTTGGATGAGGTGACTGAAAATACCATGGCTTCAGGCATGCTCCAGTCCTCCACGTGACATCATCTCGCTCATTAACACTTTCAAAGAGGTCCTTTGCAGCAGGTTTGCTCAATGCCATTCGTTACTTGATTTCTTGACGGCTGCTTTCATGGGTGTTGATCGTGAACCAAGTAAAACGAAACTTTTGACAACTTCGATCTTTTCTCCATTTATCATAATGTTCCTTATTGGTCCATTTGTGACGTATGGAAAGTGGGTATCTAATTTGTAAAGCAGCAGCCCAACTGGCATTCCCCCTCCATCCCTTCACCACCCAACCCACCCTCTCTGTTCAGATGGCATCAGAGAAGACTAAATGGCAACCAAGACTTATATGCATCTGGCAATAAAGCTCCGCCAATGGTGTCACTGGAAGCCATGTGAAGTCTTGGACTTCCCACACCCAGTCGGTAGTACTGAGAGAACTCTGCCTCAACTCCTGCCTGGGCAGAGGCTGCCTCTGCCTCAACTCTATGCCTGAGCAGAGGCTGGTGTCAAAGGAGACTGAGAGTGAAAAGAGAAACTTTTACCATCATTCACAGTAAGACAAGCTCCTCAGCCTGGAACTAACTGGATTTCACATAGGGAAAAGCAACTAGGAGATGTAGCCCATCACAGCCAGAATGTTATCAGCAGAGGCATAGTGCTGAGCCTCAAAGTTCACCTCTGCCTAGCTCCCTAACCCCATGTCAAAGAAGACCAAGGGGTGAAATTGGACTTGCAATCCTTGCAACAATGAGACAATGCCCACCTTACCCACCAGCACTGCATAAGAAGAGGTTGCAGAAACAGAAGATCTGAGTAAGAACCACACTCCCAGACACAACACGCAAAATTCTGAAGACAGAAAAGAAAATCATTCATCATAACAGGACTTAAAAAAAAAATTGAATAAGGCAAGAAACAGATGTCATCACTGAGATGTCAGAGATGTCCAAGTTATCTGAGAAGAATTTTAAAGTAACGATGACAAACATGCTTCAAAAGCGTTCAGGAACACATGAGAAACAGGAAAAACAGAGTGTCAGCAGAGAAACTGAAGATAAAGAAGATCCAAATGGCAATTTTAAGACTGAAAAATACTATAATCAGAATATACAAAGTCAATGGAAAAATACAACAGCAGAATGGAAAGAGTAAAGAATCAATAAACTTAAAGATGTAACAATAAAAATTATCCAATCAGAACAAAGGAAAAATAGAATGAAAACTTTAAACAGAGACTCATGGACCTGTGGGGCTGTAACAAAAACACATACCAGTCATGTCACTGGAGTCCCAGAAGGAGGGGAGAAAGATGGCAAGCTGACAAACTATTTGAAGAAATAAAGGCTGATCATTTCCTGAACTGGACAGAGATAAACCTACACATCAAGTAGTTGTGCAAACCTCAAACATGATAAACCCAAGGAATTCATGACAAATTTTCTCCTGAAAACTACAGAAAAGTCTTGAAAGCAGTGGGATCTCTCTAAAATCCAATGAAGTTGTCAGATAGAATAATGGCCTCCAAAAACTGTCATCTGAATCCCCAGGACATGTGCATATTTTACATTATATAACAAAAGAGAATTAAAGTAGCAGGAAGCATGAACTAGTTTAGAAGCATATAACTCATTTCTTGAATTACACAGGCTCACCTATGAAGACTTTTGAAAACACTCACGATGAAAGCATACCTAGAACCACAACCGCACCCAATTCAAATGATTGCAGTGTGACAGACTATTAGACAGACTTTCTCACCATGGTCTTCTCTCACCAACTGACTACGTGGAACTACACAAATAGGGTGTTTGTGGCCCACCAAGGGGGTTGGATGAAAAAAAAAAAAAAAAGCCTCACTGCCATCAAGTCAGTTCCAACTCATAGCAACCCCTCCTTGGGTTTCTGAGGCGGTATCTCTAAGGAAGTAGATTGCCCAGTCTTCCTTCTGAGGAGTGGCTGGTGTGTTTGACTTCTGCTTAGTAGTCAAATGCCTTAGGCACTACGCCACCAGAGCTAATAATGCAAATACGGTGCATGGCACCCTAGTGGGGGTGGGGGTGAGGTGATGCAGGTAAGAGGTATTGAACCTGTGGCCCTTCAAGCCAAAGTCTTTGTGATTCCTACACAATGATTGGGTGGGACTATGCAAATAAGGTGCTTGTGACCCACCAAGGGGACTGTCAGTATGATGCAAATGCAAATAAGGTCTATGAAACTTATGATGGTTGTGTGTCAACTTGGCAGAGCCATGTTTTTCAGTGGTTTGGCGGCTTTGTAATGATGTAGTCATTTTTCATCTTGTGATGAGTAATTATCCCCCCATTTTGTGATGTTGCAAATCCCAGCCTCTATGCCTGTAGTGTTCGTCCTATTTCATTGAGTTATGTTAATTAGACAGGATTAGAGTGGGATGTATCCTAAATCACCACCCCTACTACTCTTACTCAACTCACACCCTTGCACTGCCTTGCTCAAGTAAGGGGAGTTACTACCTTGACGTATAATCTGCTTCCAACATATATTAATGCTTTGGAAAGGTTCTCTCTTGCTCTGGATCCTGCATTTGGTTCATCATCATCTGACCTTCAGTTCTTGAGCCATCAGGCTACTGTCTGACCTTTGAAGCTTTCAAAACACGTGAGCCAGCAGCTGTCGTCTGACTTGCTGATTGAAGTTTATCAGTCCCTGTAACCACATGAGTCAGAAACTTCCAGCATGACAGCTGACCCACAGATTTGGGACGTCTCAGTCTCCACACCATTTAAGCCATTTTCTTGATGGTTCATGAGTTCTGTGAGACGTTTCAGCAAATTATGGAACCCAAAGGTGGGAGGGGGAGTAGAGAGGATAGCAGTTGATGTTAGAGATGATGGAGTGATACAGCATTTTGGAAAGGTTGGACATGTAGGACAATTTTAACCTCTCCCTCATCAAAAACAGCTTTGTGCTAATCCTTATATTCATTCAGAACCCTAACAAAGGGACTGGTCAGTTTTGTCATTCCACTAGGTTTAAAATGTGCCTCTCTAGAAGTGGAAAGGAGGAGACAGGAATGACAACCACCAAGAAGAGCCGGGAGCACAGCATGTCCATTGGAACCAGGGTACCTATGTGGGGAACCTCCTGGACCCATAAGACAGAGAGCTGTGATACTGGAGATGGCAAGAGATGATAGGAAGCAGCAGCAGAGAAACAGCGGCAGCAGAACCAGGAGACCAGCAGGAGACTGAGCACTGGGCTTCCCAGCCCAAGAAACAAGACCTCAGGGCCTTCAGGCAGGAGACTTGTTGGCAGAGTGTGATGCCACCATGCACTAGGTGGAGCCAGGCTTACTGAGTAATGGTGCAAGAGCTGAGTGCCTTTGGGCCTAGCTTTACCTTCAGAGAGTGCCTCCAGACACTGGCAGAGCCAAAGAGCTTTCTAGTACTCATCCTACCAGGGCAGAGGCCAGACTGCCTCAAGAGACCCAAGGGGCTGAGGGACCAGGAGAGCAAGGGTCAGAGAAAGGCATCTGTGGCACGGCTAAGAGGTTGTTCTGACTGAACAACTGTATCCTGAGTCGTTTCTGATCCTGAATTGTAATGTTACTTCCCTAATAAACCTTGTAACGGTGACTACTGTTTGTGTGTTCTGTGTGGCCACTGCAATGAATTGCCAAGCCTAAACAGAGAAGTAGAGTTTCGTGGGAACTCTGTTGTCATAACTGGAAAAAAGGTTGGAGAGAGGAGGTGTCTGATTTTTTGCTTCATAGGAGTCATCCTTGAGCTGATACTAATGGTGGTTCTTCTGTCTCCCACTTAGAAGTGAGAGGAGGTCATACGCCTCCACCACACGTTTTTCAGTGACTTAGATGCGAGGCTTTAGTACTAGTAAGATTTAGATCAGATTTGGGATTTGAGTTGATGCTGTAACAGGTTGAGACTTTGGAGATGTTGGAATAGGGCAAATATATTTGCATGGGGGATGGGTATGAATCACCAGTGGCCACAATATGAACTAGACAGAACAGTGGCCTCTCCAAAATGGCCCTGTCCTAAACCCCAGAAACTATGAATATGTTCCATTATATACAGAAGGAGACATAAAATACCAGAAGTTGTTAAGATTGCCAATAAGCTAATCTTAAAATAGGGAAATTTTTCTAGATTATTCCAGTGGGCCAATCTAACCCCAATGGTCCTTAAATGAGGACAAGGGAAGCAGAAGTGTCGGTGATGAAAGACTTGACTGGCCATTGCTGTCTTTGAAGATGAAAAGGAACCATTAGCCAAGGAATGTGGGCAGCCTTTTCAAGCTAGAAAAGGCAAGGATAATATCCTAGAGGTTGCAGAAAGGAACTCAGCCCTACTAACACACTGATTTTAGCCCTGTGAGATCCACTTTGGATGTCTAACTTCCATTGACTATGAGATGATGTGTTACTTTAAGCAACCACATTTTTGGTAATTTGTTACAGCAGCAACAACAAACTAATACAGTTGTATTTCCACACTAATTATATTATGTTGCATCACATAACGCCATTCCTGCTGTCCACAAAGATTTCATTTATTGGAAAAGCCATTCCCAGATTCTAAAGGTATAAAAATGTGATCTAGGACTTCAACTGATGATAGAATTTCCATCATTTCCTAAATAATGTCTGTAACGTGTAACACTACCATTTATTACCAAATGCATTCTCTCACACATTGCATTGGCAAGGTTTACTTTCTGTGAAAATTCCCGATTACATACTGAGCCCTGACTTCCTGAGAAGTCAGTGATTGCACAATCACTGGTTTTTGACTCCCTTGGAGCTCACGGATTTTCAAAGGCTGAATTCTGGAAGAAGACATTTCCACAGGCACTGTAGTCATAGGGTTCTGTTCCTGTATGAGTTTACACATGTATAAAGAGCTGTGTCTCCCTGAAGAAGTTTTTCTCACCTTCAGTGAATTTAGTGCGTTCTCTCTTGAATGAGTCTCCTTATGCCTCATGAGGAATGACATGTGGGTAAAGTCTTTGCCACATTCACTGCATCCATATGGTCCCTCCCTCGTGTGAGTTCGCTGATGCTGAATGAGCTCAGACTTGCTTCTGAAGGCTTTTTCACACTCACTACATTTATAAGGTCTCTCTCCTGTGTGAATTCTTTGATGCTTGGTCAGGTCTGACTTAAAAACGAAGCTTCTTCTACACTCACTGCATTCGTAAGGCTTCTCTCCTGTGTGAAGTCTCTGATGTACAATGAGGTATGCTTTCTGGGAAAAGGCTTTCCCACACTCACTGCATCCGTAGAGTTTCTCTCCAGTATGAGACCGCTGATGGCGCTTGAGCTGGCTCTTCCAAGTGAAGGCTTTCCCACATTCGCTGCAGACACAGGGTTTCTCTCCTGTGTGAATTCTCTGATGTATCAAGAGCAGTGACTTTCTGGAGAAGACTTTGCCACATTCACTGCATTCATGTGGTTTCTCTTCTGTGTAACTTTTTGGGTGGTCACTGAGTTGTGACTTAGTGCTACTCATATTAAAACATCCAGGATATTGAATTCCAGGAAAAGTTTTATCCTGCTTCCTGTGGACAGATGGATTCCCATAACCACTAACCTCATCAGAATCTCTTCCTGCCATTCTTTTACTCTGAGTAACAAAATCTAAATGAGATTTCAGACTTTTGCAAGGTGAGTCAAACATATTGTGTCTTTGTGTTGAAGTAACTACGTTTTTGCTTAAACCGAAGTTATGTCGAAGAGCAAAACTTTGCAGACATCTTTCCAAACTTTTAAGCTCATTTTGGTTTTCAGGGTGCCTCTGCAAACGGTCAGTCGCCCACATTTCTTCTAGGAAAAAGAACAATGAAAACACCCACAATCATTTTAGGGAGGAAAACAACAAAAGGTACAAAAGGGTCATGGTTTGGGCTGGGTATTATAAGATACCGGTCATAGCAAATGTACCCTGTGAAAATGTACCCTTCGTGGGGAAAAAAAAAAGTATTATATAAAGCAGGAAAAGGAAAACCACTTGCTATAGAAACAATGACGCAGAGTCTACAATAAATAAATATAACACGGGCTGCTTTTCAAATGGGACCTTGAAAAATAGAGACAGATGTAGAAATATTGTTGTTGTTGTTATGTGCCATCGAGTCGGACCCAACTCATAGCGACCCCTCTTTGGGTTTCCAAGGCAGTATCACTATGGAAGTAGATTGCCCCATCTTTCTTCCAAGGAGTGGCTGATGGGTTTGAACCACCAGCCTTCTGGTTAGCAGTCAAGTGCCTTAGGCACTACGCTACCAGAGCTCCTAACATAGAAATAGAAAAGTAAATAAATAAAATACTACTGTTTTTTGTTGTGTTGTTGTTATGTGCAGTCAAGTCAAACCCGACTCATAGCAACCCCTCCTTGGGTTTCCAAGGCAGTATCACTACGGAAGTAGGTTGCCCAACCTTCCTTCTGAGGAGTGTCTGGTGGGTTTGAACCAAGAGCCTTCTGGTTAGCAGTCAAATGCCTTAGGTACTACACCACCAGAGCTCCCAATACAACAGTTACCAAAAAAATAAAATACTTGGAAATAAATCTTACCAGGGCCACAAAAGACCTGTACAAAGAAAACTATAAAAGACTACTTCAAGAATCCATGAGACATCTACATAAATGGAAGAACATCCCATGCTCGTGGATAGGAAGACTCAACATTGTGAAAATGTCAATACTCCCCAAAGCAATCTATACATTCAATGTAATCCCAATCCAGATCCCATCAACATTCTTTAAGGATATGGAAAAACCAATCACTAACTTTATATGGAAAGGAAAGAGACCTCGGATAAGCAAAGGATTATCGAAGAAGAAGAACAAAGTAGAAGGTCTCACACTCTCAGGTCTTAAAACCTACTCTACAGCCACAGTAGTCAAAACTGCCTGGTATTGGTACAATGACAGACACACAGACCAATGGAATAATTGAGAACCTGAAATAGATCCACAGACCTACAGTCAGCTGATCTTTGTCAAAGGGCCAAAATCCATTAAATGGGGAAGACGTTGTCTGATAACAAATGGTGCTGGAAAACTGGATATCCATTTGCAGAAAAATGAAATAAGATTTGTTACCTCACACCATACACAAAAACTAACTCCACATGGATCAAAGACTTAAATGTGAAACCTAAAACTATAAAGTTCCTCAAGGGAAAACTAGGAGCAAATTTAGGGGTCCTATGAGTCGGGGCCGACTCGACGGCACATAACAACAACAACAACAACAATATATGGCATAAACAGACTGTTAAGCATAACCCAAAATGCACAAGTTGCAGAACATCAACCAGAAGAACGGGACCTTCTAAAAATTAAATTTTTATGTGCTTCCAAAGACTTCTCCAAAAGAGTCAAAAGAAAACCTACAGATTGGGAAAAAGTTTTTGGCAATGACATATCTGACAAAAGACTTATCTCTAGAATTTATAGAAAATTCCAACACATGAATAACAAAAAGATAAAAAATCCGATTAAAAATTGGCAGAAGACATGAATAGACACTTCACGAAGGAGAATATTCAGGTGGTCAACAAACATATGAAGAAATGCTCACAATCATTAGTCATTAGAGTGATGCAAATCAAAACAACAATGAGATACCATCTTGTCCTAACACTAGTAGCAAAGTTCAACAAGACAGAAAATAACAAATGCTGGTCAGGATGCGGAGGGACTGGAACTCTCATACACTGCTGGTGGGACTGTGGTAAAACCACTGTGGAAAGCAGTTTGGCAATTCCTTGTTGTTGTTGTTATTTGCTGTCGAGTCAGACCCAACTCATAGCGACCCCTCCTTGAGTTTCTGAGGCGGTATCAATACGGAAGTAGATTGCCCAATCTTCCTTCCGAGGAGTGGCTGATGGGTTTGAACTTCCGGTTAGCAGTCAAGTGCCTTAGACACTACACTATCAGAGCTCCTATGGCAATTCCTTAAAAAGTTGTAAGTAGAAATACCATTTGATCCAGCCATTCCATTACTAGGTATATACCCTAAAGAAGTGAAATCCAGGACAAGAATGGATATATGCACACCCATGTTCATCACAGCACTATTTACAATAGCCAAAAGATGGAGACATCCCAGGGGCCCACCAACAGAAGAATGGATAACCAAACTATGGTACATACACACAATGGAATACTATGAAACCCTAAGGAATAACATAGAATCAACAAAACACCACATAATGTGGATGAACTTGGAAGACATTATGCTAAGTGAAGTCAATCAGAGAAGGACAAATATTTTATTAGTCCATTACTGCAAAAAGTCAAGGGAAGGTATATGTATGGAAGGAAATTTTTTTGTTGTTGGTTACCAGGTGTGGGAGGAAAGAGGAGGGAACACTTAAATAGATAGAGACAAATACTGATTTGGGTGAAGAGAAGGGCAATATACCAAATGAGTGATCAACACAGTGGCACTGAGGAAGAGGAAGACATAGAGAGGTGCATGGGAGGTACAGACAACAAAGATGAACCCTTTTACACACACAGTATTGCACTGTCAGCAAAGGCAAACACTGATATATATGTGGATAGATGAGTGGACAGGTTGAATGATTAGGTATGTTTATGCAGAGTAGAGCACGCCCATGACCATGTAGAGGGTTGGCTGACAATGTTTCTACAAGTGTATTTGTGTGTTCTGCAAGAATTCCCAGATATATAGTAGAGGTGACAAGGGGTGAGGCTGTAGTCACTTCCTGGTCACAGCCAGCTACCCGGGGGAAGGAGTAGTTGGACCTGTGGGCTCAGGACCATAATTGCAGGGGAAATCAAGCTCAATTGGCATAACATACTACCCAAAAACATTGTTCCACATCTTACTTTGGCGAGTAGCAACTGTGATCTTAAAAGCTTGCAAGTGAATGATGGGTCTCTCCTCATCCAGAGCAAAGAAGAATGAAGAAAACCAAAGATTCATGGAAACAATTAGTCCAAGTGAAGGTACACCATGCGATCCTCAGCCTACACAATTATGAGACCAGAAGAACTAGATGGTACCTGGCTACCACTGTCAGCCACTCAGAGGGGGATCTATGTAGAAGATCCTGGATAGAGAAGGAGAACAATGTGGAAAAAACTCAAAATCATTTGGGGGAGGAGTGGGGGACCAAGTTTACTGGTCTGTTAGAGCGTGGTGGAACCCCTGAGACTATAGCCCCTAGCTGCCCTTCAGGTCTGGAATTGAACCCACACCCGTTGCTTCCAGCCAAACAAAAGACAGGCATAGGAGCTGAACATTTACCTGAGGTAGATACGCTTGTTGGAGAGAACAATCATGGGAGAAAGAAAGGCTGTGTATGCACAGGGAGACAGCTCACAGGGCAGGAGGGCATGGAGGGATGGACACAGGAAAGAGGTGACTGTCAGGAGGAAGTGGGAGGGGAGCTGTTGCACTGGGGTAAATTGCAGTCAATGTCATGAGACAAAGTGTATGTGAACTTCTGTATGGAAAGTGAATTTTCTCTGTAAATAGCTTGCTAGCGGCCATCTAGATGCAACACTGGGTCTCTCCTCATCCAGAGCAAAGAAGAATGAAGAAAACCAAAGACACATGGAAATAATTAGTCCAAGCAACTGGTACACCATGCAATCCTCAGTCTATATGATTATGAGACCAGAAGAACTAGATGGTGCCCAGCTACCACTATCAATCACTCAGAGGGAGTGATTCAAAATCATTAACAACAAAAGGACCAGGTTTGCTGGTCTGACAGAGCCTGATGAAACCACTGAAGACTATGGCCCCTAGTTATCTTTCAGGTCTGGAATTGAACCCACTCCTGTGGCAAAACAAAAGACAGGCATATGAGCTAAACATTCACATTAGGTAGATACACTCCTTGGAGAGATCAATCATGGGAGAATAGAAGGGCTGTGTAAGCACAGGGAGACAGCTCAGGAGGCAGGAGTTCATGAGAGGGAAGGACACAGGGAAGAGGTAACTATGGGGAGGAAGTGGGGGGGAGGTATTGCATTGTGGGAAATTCCAGTCAATGTCATGAGACAAAGTGTACATGAGCTGCTGTGTGGAAAGTGAATTTGCTCTGTAAACTTTCACCCAAATCACAAAAATTAAAAATAAAAGAAGAATGTGATGAAGAGCCCTAACTGTGGAAAGTTGGGATCAGAGAACTAAGACTGTAGTTTGTGTCGGAACAGAACTGCACTGATAGTAGAGGCACATATGAACACATTCCACAATGAGGACAAGAAATTCTCTCAGACAGGAAGTAGGAAATCATGAGACAGCTGACCTGGCGGCTGAACAAACACGTGAGATGGAGTACAGATTAGATATTTGAAGAAGTGTCAATTTGGGTGCCTCCATCTGAGGTGCAGTAGATCACTGATATATGGCCTTTCTCGTCACAGTCTCTTAACTCCCACCAAATGATTGGGTGGGACTATGCAAATAAGGTACTTGTGGCCCATCAAGGGGATTCGACAGTTTGTGAATAATACAAATAAGG